CTTGTTATAACATTTCAATTAATCGGTATTCATTTCTTAACTGCTGACTTAACGGTTTAAAGGCAGGTTGCCCCCCTTCCACCAACCAATCGTCCAATAAAAATGTTGACGGCCCACACATTGTTACTGCGTCGCCGAAACATTAATTGCAGATGCGCTACATTTGCCCTATTATGAAGTTATACGTATTAATGGAATATTAAAAACTTGTCAAATGCAAATATTCCCGTCGTTAGATGACTTGAATATGTTCAAGGATGCAGATTTTATATCTTGGTTAGCAGACTGCTTACTGTCTATTTTTTCGATTAAATATGCATGCTAGAACTTATAGGACTGAGCAATCTCCATTAAACGTTTCTATTTGTATACATATATAATTTATATTTTTTTTATATCATATACATAAAATATTATCAGATCAACACACACAAATATACCCCTAAAATGTTATTAAGTACCGGGCATATATAACCATGCAAAAATATTTAACAATTTACAAAGACAAACCCCTACAAACATTCTGTTATGCAAAATTAATTCATTTCAGTGCGTTATTTCTTTACCATTATCTCCATTCCCACTACAATTTTCTTTTTTCCAGAAGCCCTATCCGTTCTCAGACTTTAACCATTATCCAACATTATATAACCGTTACTTTTCGCACACATTACAATTTCATTGTCCGTACTCTTTTCCAGATAACTATCAATTTTCTCTACAGCTTTCTCCTCTTCCATTGAAACGATAATATCATCACACACATCCTAGTTCATTCCTTGTGCAATCCCTTTACTAAGGATATTACCTCCTTGAAATAAAAACAACACGGACCAGACTACGTTATCTATGAATTAAGCATGCATGTCAATTTTAACGTCTATATAGAATGGCTGGTCCTGTATTGGCATAAGACTAAACACGCATTTGTCTATGAACCTTGCAATTAACAACGCTTCTTCTTCCGTGATAACATCGTGCAATAAGAATTTACTATGCTAAAATTATTTCTTAATATATAAAGTAGGCAATTGCAGATTTATATAGACGTCGTAAAGATAATAACTGTATGTGTGTAATCTTTATCATATATGTAAGGCAATGAAATGAATTCCAGTATAGATGGCAGCCTTTAAACACTTTTAATATATATAATTATACAGTTTAAAGACGTTTATTGTGCATGTAAATAACGGATCTTTTGTAATATTTTAATGCCTTTAATAAAGAAATGTTCATTTGTATGAATTTGCTTTGTTTATACATGTGCCAATTTAACCCCATAAAATGGCAAAAAGGCCATAATAATAGAGAATGATTGGTTCACTGTAAAAAATAAATTTTAACATTTACATCTTAACATTTCGAATACTGCCAGAGTTTTCTTTTCTTTTCGTTTTTTTTATTATTTCCGATGTACCCACCTTCATAAGTTGCTTCATCATTCCTGCATAACCCCTTTTCCTGTCATCATTTATGGCCCTTAGAACTTCTTAAGACGGCGCACCCATCTGATGTTTAAAGTGTTTTTAAATTAGTTTTTTATGACCAACAATATCACAAACAAAAATACGAAACCATTTTTATAAATGTTATATAGGTAATTAAAACAAATTAATCTGGATCATTATCTGTTATTATTATATTCGTTAAGTCGATAATAACTAAAATTTATTTAACGAATTATGATGAATACTGGCTTAATTTACTTTAAATAAAACGGACCATGAAACATCTTTTACTGGATAGACTTCTGTGTGAAGAAAAAAGAAGATACAACTGCTACTCATGATTACGATAACAGGTTAATGTGTTCATAAAAAATCGAGGAAAAATGGGACATAACTCGAGGTCTCGACAATAAAATGAGTGAAAACATCTCTCTCATTTTGAGTCATGATAGATAATGAAGAGTGTAATATAACATGTAAACCATCGCCTTTTGAACAACTGCTGCAGTATTTAGGTGTTAACTAAACTTATTGGCGTAAGTACCAGAATATGTATAATACAGATAGATGAATTTAGGGCTAATGTGGACCTGCCATGCGAATCCATTACACTTGCCATTGTGAGTTTAATGGTAGACACACTATTGCTCACCTTTGATCATTTCAATCCATGACAATGGAAATAAGTGCTCAAGACTTTTAGCATCGTGTTTTGCAAAATAAAATTAGCATCCGATTTGCTTTTTAAATGGATGGTGTCGTGTCTAATACTATTTCTTCAACAGTTGATGATCAGCTCATATACATTGTATTTCAAAATATCTATATATGTGTCCATTTAGCGTAAAAATGAAAATCAGTTATAATTGCATTGACTACTAATATGGTGATTGAATAAAGTATTATTCTTAAAATCGATATAACACAAACAACAAACACCATGCAAATAAGACTAGACAAAGCACAACGCAAGGCACATGGCAATTCGTATATCATAAAATGATGCTTCATTGCATACATTACACATTTGTATTGCACAACAGGTTGGCACATGTATATAGCCAGGAGAAATATGTAATCGACTTTGTTATTCATATACGAATTAATTAATATTTGAACAAACGTTTGATTTACTCCGATAAAAGCTTTGATTCCATCCATTACTTTAAGTAGTTCATCGTTTGCTTTTCGAAGAGATGTTTCGTAAACAAGTTGAAAAGAAATGCAACAAACGTTGTATAAACAAAATTTATTTGTCAGGCATCTCTTAATATGTTTTATATACTTATGATTAACTTTTATTATTTCTGCAAAGAATCGAAAACGCTAAATGCGTAGTTTGCATTCCGTTTTAGAAAACATACACATTGAAGATAAGTATACCACAAGGAAGTGGTAAATACAATCAGTTTTAACATTATATGGTCTCTGCAATTTTTCAAAAATATGTTAATTGGAATTGTATGTAAAAGCTTTTATTTTATTTGATGTTGATCCACATAATCTTATGCATTCACAATTTTATTCTTATTATTTATATGTACTGTACAACGCCGTTGAATATTGTTAAATAGAAACAGGCGTTTAATTAAATAAAAAGTTTCAAGTTTCAAGTTGCATTGTGGTACTTAATCAGTGGATTAATACGCAATATATTGGTAATGTAGCCTGGGTACTATTCAACTGCCGAACAATGAATTTTTATCCACTGGATAGCTGGCCCCAGGTTAAGAATTTAACCAGTTGATAAGCTATCCTTTGGTTAATTTTAACCAATGTTTTGAACAACCCAGGCTAGCTTAACACTTCAGGACTCAGTTTTAATTATTTCCTGCTTTGTTGCAAAACAATTTTCATTAACATTTTCGTCAAATGGGAAGACAATGTTTTCTTATCTGCACTGTCTGATTTCATGTAAAGAGGGTTGTTTGTTTTTGTATTTAACTCAATATCGTGGCACAAGGCTTAAATTAGATAATGCGCAAAGCTCAATGTCATTATTTCAAGGGCACCGTTTTGCATTAGACCAAACGCATTGATGTAAGAATTGTTTCATTGCATTGTCATGTTCTGAATGTGTTCATTTCTTTCAATCTTTCTAACTTTAGAAACTAGAAATCAAGTTCGCTTTGAAGGCATTTCTTTTAAATGTTTTTCACAGCCAGTTTACGTTTGCGTACACTTTGTATTTATTTTGTGATTTGTGAGATCAGAGTACAGTCTGCAATCGTTAGCTTGATGTTGAACAGAACATTTGAAGATGAACAAAAACTAATTTATGCTACAGATCAACAATATACATCCTCATGAACTATCGATGTTCTGTTTAAAAGTAAAATTATATATTATAAATTTTTTGATATTCGCTTTACAATTTTTTAATTATAATAGTTGAAATTTTTTCAGATGACAGTATAATGAACTTTCATCACAAACGCATATTTTTTTCGTTAATCGACATCGGATTTATTTACATGTTTGTGCTTAAACGATCCTCTATATGAAAATCACATTTTCTTTGCTTCTGCAAAAGTGGCTTTTTTCCGTCCGAGTCTAGATTTGTGCTTTCTACATTATTTTGTGGTACATTTGATAATTCGGTTAAATTGATGAATCGCTGAAAGATGATTCCGTGGCAGTAGATAATGTAAAATTTTGTATTTTTACTGATTTAAAGTTTTCTGTTTGATCCGACGGAACATGTATCTCATCTACGCTAGTACTAGAAGTTGATGTTTCGGTATGGTTTAACTGATCTTTATTGTGAGAAGCTGACTTTACCATTCTTTTAGCAACTGGTTCAAGAATCTTTTTTAAAATTGGCTTCTTTTTAGAACCGGACATAACTAACTTAGTATCTTTTTCATTACTCCCAGATGATGAAATAGAAATTGTTTCGTCAGTCTCGATTTCCTTATTGATGTGTGCAGTTGATGTCAGGTCTTTATCCCTGGGTAAATTGGAGGCAACATTTATAACAAGGTCATTTCCACTTTCGATTTTTAAATGCATTTCATCTGTGTCTGTTTTGTCTTCATCTGTTTCTTCTGGAACGATTTGCAGTCGGACATTAGTACGGTTTGTATCAGCTTTGCATTCAGCAATGCCTTTACATAAAATATATCCACCTTTGTGCAAGTATAATGTAGGCCAAACAATGAAATCAATATTAGTACCAGATTTCGTATATGCTTTCAGCTCATTGCTAATAAACAATTCGTCGCATCGTTCAATGTTAGTATCAACAAAAACAGGAGGATCTTGAACAACCATCAGCCAAGATAACTCTATACTGCTGTTCACAAACGCTTCCATTCCCTTATCTTCGCGTACCGATTTTGTTTGTAGAATTTGTTTGATTCCATCTGATAAGCCTTAAATTAATTATACATTTCACTCTTAATGGTTTCGTTAAAATGAACATCATGCACAAGTTTATGCAATGTTTGATTGTAATGATATTTATATTTACATTTTCCCCGTTTGAATTGTTCTGATAGAGAGAAGGTTTATTATTTATTTATTTATTTTTAACTGCATCATAATGCTTCAAGAAAATGTATTTACCTGTAACATCTTTATTTGTTTAAACTGCTCTCTAAAATGTCTTTTCCTCTGATCTTTGAGTGATTTCATTACCTCAATAGGTGATTCCTGACACTGAATAAACAAATGCAAAATGCATAAATGTATTTAGATAGTATACAAAACTTTCTATTTGCGAAAAAAAATCGCATGTTTTTTAAATGGATGGCGTCGTGTCTAATACTATTTATTCAACAGTTGATGATCAGCTCATATGCATTTTATTTCAAAATATCTATATATGTGTCCATTTAGCGTAAATATGAAAATCAGTTATAGTTGCATTGACTACTAATATGGTGATTGAATAAAGTATTATTCTTAAATTCGATATAAGACAAACAACAAACACCATGCAGATAAGACTAGACAAATGGCAATTCGTATATCATAAAATAATGCTTCATTGCATACATTAAATATTAGTATTGCACAACGGGCTGGCACATGTATTTAGCCAGGAGAAAAAATGCAATCGACTTTGTTATTCATATACGAATAAATAAATATTTGACCAAACGATTGATTTACTCCGAAAAATGCGTTGATTCCATCCATTACTTTATGTAGTTCATCGTTTGCTTTTCGAAGACATGTTTCGTAAACAAGCTGAAAAGAAATGCAACAAACGTTGTATAAACACTATTTATTTATCAGGAATCTCTTAATATGTTTTATATACTTAAGATTAAACATTTTATTATTTCTACAAAGAATCAATAAAGTAAATGCGTATTTTACATTCCTTTTTAGAAAACATACACATTGAAGACTGTACTAAAAGATAAGTATACAGCAAGGTAAAAGGACACGAGTAAGCTTGATGTTTATTCTTACGCAGAATATCTCTAATAGCATACGACAGGCTTGTTCATCTGGCACCTCATTCTTACTCAAAACGTCAAATGCATCAGCCCATTCATTGTCGTAAAGTTCCAAATATTGTTCAGCTAGTTTTGTTGGCCTGTTTACATCACATAAGTCTGCAATATTAAGATTGCCATCTGTTAGCTTAGCACTGGCAACGGCACTGAGTCTAAAATAAAAAAATTATTAAAATGTAGTTATAAGAATAAAGAGACCAAAGTACAATTCATTTTGTTGGCTAGTTGCTCTTGTTTTGTTTTGTATTTCTTTGTTTGGCATTATAATTTTTACTTACAGTTCAAAATACAAAATGTCGCGATTATAAATGTTCTTTACAAAATTTGATAAAAAATATTCATGCATCATATATTCCAATGTCTGGATGTTTCTAAATTCAAAATTTTACTATTTCACGTTTAAATGTTGAATTCTGCTTAAGCCGGTGCTAGGGGGCGTGGACGGTAACTTGCACTTTCCAGTACCGTCCATGAACAGGCTCAATCAAACCGAGCCTGCAACATTTTCAATTTTGCCGTGTTGGGCTTTCTTTAGGGATTCTGTATTTATCTATTTTGTATTAGAAGGAAGTTACCGTGTCGAAAGAATGTCTATTTCTTGTTTCAAAGCTTCATTTTCTTCTTTAATCTTTGTTAATTCACTGTCATGAGGTGTTCGATCTTTCTTTTGTCTTGAAAAATATATAACACAATCACGTATAACTATCACATTTGTCAAACGAACTATCAGTTTCGTTAAAGGGACAACAAGGATTCAAATTTATGTTCAGAATTTTATTGATCAATGTTTTAAGAAATAAATACCAATTTAAACATTAATATGTCTATGCTTTTCTTTTAGGTAAATTATCTCTTATTCTTTATCGTTATTTAAGTCCTTCAATAGCTTTTCTTGCTTTTCAACTTTACTATAATTGTACATCCCTTCTTATCCCATCTTCAATATGGAATAAAACGAACAAATGTCACAATTAAAAAATGTATTGACTATATTTTCTGTTACTGAATATGAAATTGAACAAGATCATTGATATCTTGAGATACATGTAACGCCAATATATATATATACATAAGTGGTCAGTTGAAACATTTTACATCGCAGCCGGGACTCGAACCACGGGTCTCTAGATTGCCCGTCCAGTATGGTAACCACTGCACCACAACAAGCTTTTTTTTTTGAGGCCCCATCTGGGTAACCCCGTTTATTTACCCTGTAATAGGTATGAGGGGTTCGGAGTCATCCTCCATCATACCTTACATTGTTAATATGTCTGCACCACAACAAGCTAATTGGCCTTTCATATTTAAGTATTTTTTATCTTTATTGGCATGTCATCCTTTTTAATACCACAGCGGCGATCGATCAATAGCTACTCTTACTTTAGCGACAGTTTTTCTTAGTGCAAATATTCTTATGGCAAGCACATTCGGCCACTTCCGCCTTAATGGTATAAAATGTGCTCATGACGGTAATTTCAGTAATAGTATAGTTACCGATAAGAAACGGAAATTACATCGTGGAGAATTATGGAGTTACGTATCTATGACAAGCTAAATTTAATATACTTATAGGGATATAAAAAGTATGTTGAGTTTTTCCTTACCTTTCGTGTCTTTTGTTAGCCAGTGCGACTTGAGTCGGTGAGGTCGACCGTTTTCCATTATCATGAATTAATTCCGCATCAACCTCTAACGTGTTTTTACTAACATGACTTAAACACGATCCCATCTCTATTACATATATCTTTTTTAATGTATTTTTTTTATAAAAATTCAATCCGATAAATATAGAAGTTCGGCTCCGAACAAGCACTTTTAAATGACCTCTAAGTGTTACCTTTACCTTTAAGCTAGAGACCAGGTTCATGCACTTGACACTGCTTTTCAAAGTAGTGAACATTGTAATGAAGTCTTATTAAAATCCCACCATGCGTGGAAATGTGCTCTGGACACAATATATATATATATTATGATAATGACCATATTATGATAATGACCATTTGTATTTCAGTTCTTCAATAAATGATAACTACACATTTTATCTGAACTTTGGCCCCTATGTGTAACCTTGACCTTGGCTGCAGGTACCTAAAATTTGCACGTGACACTCACCGACACAATGGTGAACAATTGTAAGATATATTGAAATCCCTATATACATGTCGAAGTTTTGCTCCAGGCAAGCACTATTCTTTGACCTCTAAGTGTGACGTTGACCTTTGACCTATGGGCCTGGTTCATAAACATTGAAATGCTTTTTATAGTGGTGAACATTTGTATGAAGTTTCATAAGAATCCCTTGATATGTGTAGGAGATAGGCTCTGGACAAAATCCCTATATTCTATAATCTTAAGTGGCCTTGATTATCATCTTTAATGACCTTGACTTGCATATATAAACCTAAATTACATGTTTCACACCAGTAGTCATGACAATGACTTTTGTGTTCCAATCCCTTAATGAATGATGAATGAATGGTTCGAATCACACAGTAAGAATCTAGCTAGGGCCACTATGGAGAGAATCAAAGCGGACGTAAACAAACTCGTCAGAAAAGAACAGACAGGTTTCAGACCTGAAAGATCATGTGCAGACCAGATAACAATACTCAGGATTATAATTGAACACTCGTAAATGAAATAGGCCATTGTATGCAAACCTCATCGATTGCAAGAAAGCGTTTGACTCGGTGGACAGGGACAGGGACCTGGAGACCTTGTTCATGCACGCGACACGGCTTCTTATGGTGGTGAACATTATTTGTTTTCGTTTACTTCCTTACCAGTTTCTAATTATTTATTCTTAGGTAGTGTTTTGCCTGCCCGTACCCTGCCTTATGCCTTTTCCTGCTTTTGTTTGGGGTCCTCCTAGGCTCTTTGCCACTGGCTCTTGTTACTGGGTTGGGTGGGGGTAGTGTTCATTGAACGCCGCTTTTCCTTGATGATCTTGTTTATCATATTTTAGTATGAAGTTTCGTTAAAATTCCTTTAGACGTGTAGGAGATATGCTCCGGACATAAATCGGACTCCGCCGCCCAGTCGCCCGCCGGGGATATAATACGACAACAAAAACGATTTTTATCAGAACTTAATATGTCATAAAAGTTATTTTCTGGTTCAGTGTATCATCAGCAAGACAAAATAGCGTAACAAGAAGCATTCTGTCTATTAAAGAATTTCATACTTATTTGATTCTATGTTTAAATAAATCCTTTTTGGTGCTCATTAAGTAACTGAAGTTCGCAAATTAAAGACAGACAGTGAAAGGCTCCGAAACGAATTGGAAAAAATACGAAGAGAAAAAAGGCTATACAACTCTCGATATCGAAAAAGAAAAACAAAAGGCTAAATGATGCTGAGAAGAAGCATTTGGAACACATCAACGAGATGGAAAAATAATTTGATTATGAGAGATGTCAAATGCAGCAAATCATTAAAGAACAGACAGATCAAATTAAAACTCTACAACATTCAGAGAAAAAGGCAAGAGAAACTCTCGAAAAAACAAACGAAATATTGGACAAAACAAACAAAAGGTATCTCATTAATTAAAACAGAAACTGATAATATAAATGTAATTTATTCTCTGGTGTGTTTTCCTTAGTTTTATACTACTTTGTTTTATTTATTTTGAAAGAGAGATAAACTTTATGAAAGTTGTTATACAATAATTCAAGCATGTTAATCCTTTTAGACTCGACCAGTCACTGGAAGATAAACGCCTAAACAACAAAGAGGAATATAATGAGTTAAGTGACGTTCACCGTCCAACGAGACTTGCAGAAATGTTTCAGACAATATACGATAATGAATGGGCAGAAGCATTTGAATGCATTACTAAAATGAAGCATGATGACGAGGAATCAGTAGCATTAGCTTTATTCGACATTCTTTTGGTAATTCTATAAATATTTGTTATTAGTGAACGTTGTATGATGAGTTATTTCAGATATGTGCACGATGTTGACACACTTTGGAATTTTGTAAAGTTAAGAAAATAAAAAACATTGGCTCAATAAATATATTTATTTGATAAATGCTATATTATATTCTAAGTAACCTAAATAATTATGAATTATTTACATTTGATGCATAGAATCAATTCTAGTTATATCTCCAAACGGCTCCAAATTCAATCGGTCATGTATGTGATGTGAACTATCATTTAAGACAATACATTTGTGCACTACAACATAAGCATCCAAGTATTAAATGAAAACTAAGTTATTGTGTTGAATAACTTTATTTCATACTTTATAAGATATAACAGCATCTCAACACGTGATGCTCAGATAGAGGTAATTATGGGAACCAATCTTTTAAAGTCAGCCCAGGTTTTATTTTCAGAGTCCGAAGGGAGGTCCGAAAGAACCATATGAACTCCATATCTGACCCTATATAGCCTCGTTGTCATTTCCAGAGTCCGTCAGGTTCATAACAAATCCATATCGCATCCAATCCATCATTAGAGTCCAAAACCCATATCCATACTTTATTGTAAATGAAGTTACAAAGTCCTATCATTATGTCAAACAAAACGGTGGTATGAAATAAAAAAGCCATTAAACATGGTCGAAATCAATACTGATTTTTACTATTGAAATACCTAGCGCCTCGTCCAATATATGTTTGATCTTTCTACTGATCTAATAGACTTCAGTATTGCATTCAAAAAGTGTATAAAAACGTTACAGTGTTGTACAATGAAGAGCATAAAATACACACCAAGCGTTGTTCCTTTAAAACAGCTGTGTTTTTGTTTAATATTATGTTAAACAATTTAAAGTATATACTTAGTAGTATAACACCTTAATATGTTATCAATCAGTTTTGATGTGACAAAGTAAACATGTACAGTGAGCTTTGGTCAATATTAGATACTATTTACCTTGGTTTATTTTAAAATATAAACAGATTGTACTTGCAATTAAAGTCGAAAATAGTGTCTAGAAAAGCAGTTTAGTATGTTAACATCTAGGCAATAATTTTGAAATCTGCAGATTTATTCTTTAGAAAACAAAGTATGTCTATGAAAAAGAGGCAGAATGGCAAATGAAAGAAGTAAAATTTGCTGTAACACAGGACGGAAGACAGGTTTTTCTCTTATGTATGTTATATAATTAAACTACAGCTGAGGTTATAAGACATTTATAGCTAGAGACGAATATTTTTATTTCAGGCAAAGAAAACATTTAGAAAAGTATAATTTTCTGTTATGTCGTCCCTTTAAAGGGACTCCACTGAGGTTTTTTGATATGATTGGACTGTATTTTTTCCATATAAATGTACCATTGTTAGACCTCTAATCTTTGTGCAAAATTTCAGATCATTCGCGCACTTCGTTTGTCCAGAATAATTATTCACATTGTAAGTAAATGACCCAAAATGAAAAGCGTTTAAACGATTTTCACTGAAATCGGACTGAGAAAAGCATATAAATACGATTTTCAATTATTTCAAGTATATTTCTTAACTATCTTTGCATATATTTCTGTCTAAAGTGCCAGAGGTCATTTATGTAAGAAATTCAAATGTTATACTTTTAGGCTTTTAAACCTCGGTGGAGTCCCTTTAAAATCGACATGAACCTATGTACTATAAATGCATAGCCTAATTCCTACGTGGTATGCCCATATATGCTCAGTGTGTATATTTTACATCGTTCAAGTGCAATTGTTTGTTATCAAGGCTACATGCCTTTTTCGAAAAAATCATTATCAGTCTTTTTAAATAATTGAAAGTATTAAGTTATAAAAAACATATTTTGAAAATGATTCGTGTTTTTGTTGCCAATCATAGGTGGATGATTCAGTGATTTCAAGGATATACACACAGTTAAAGGAATGTAGGAGATCTGTAGCGGTGCATTCGGGAAACAATATGTACAAGGTAGTTGATTTTGCTTTTAAAAACAACATTACCACCAGGTGAGCCAAATGTTTTAACTTAACGTTTGTCTATAAGTCCGTCTTTGCGCTTTGACACTGCTTTTTATGCTTATAAATAAAGGACCTTTAGACCCATAAAATTGTGGGCGTCCAATTCTCTGGTGTACATTAAGATAAAATATGATTTATACTGAAACAGTAATGTGCCAATAATTTTACAGGGAAAGACACGAAATGGTATTAATATTTTCATAGAATACATTAAAGCAGCTAAATAGTTCTGCAATTTCAGAAATATCTTGAAAAACTGATGTATGCTGATACACCCATCGCAAGAAAAGCAAGATTTGTTCCAAAATACTTCGAGCATGTTGGTTAATAGCAGTAAGTAACATATTATCATTTATCTTTTATAAACAGTACTTTAGAAGAGCATTTAAGGACCTTGGATCATGTATTATATCCAGAGCTAAATACACAGCAATAAATCGAAAATACTGAAATAGCATGATATTTTAAAACATAATGATGACACTAACATGATCCTTCAAGCATCAAGCAACCTCATATAGTTGCACTTTCACGGATGTGCGCAGGTAACATCTCTAAAGCAGCGACGGCCGTTCTAGGATGTACTTTCGTGTTATTAAACGTCTTTTATGTGGCGTCCAAAATCAGCTGTTGATAATTATTATTACCTAACATGTCATGTGCAATGTTAGGGATATCAAAAGGTATCCAACAGGCATCAATGTTGTGTTTTTGACAAGCGGCATTGATTACAATAGTTGATATACTCGTACACGGTATTGACGAGCTGAACTTTATTTTGAGAACATTTGTGCAAGTTACTCTCCAATCCTCTGCTTTTTAAATAACCAAATCAATTTTGCTGGTGCTTAATGAATGACAGATTAAACTCTTGTTGTTTTTTTTAATTTATTTATTCTTGTTTTGCGATTTGTATATACCTTGTATGTGATTATACCAATCTACAGTTTATTTTTTCCACAAGAATATCCAAACTACTGATGTCTTGTTGAGTCAATTTAAATTCTTATTAGATTAAAATATCTATATCATAATTATATAATATTTCTACAGGTTCAAGATCCTCCTTCTTGAATTTTGGCCTTGATACCAGGCGAGGGATGCTTTTGATAGGATTATTTAAAGCGCCTACACAAACTTAGGAAAGAAAGTGGCCTTTGTTGTGTGGCCTCCCCTTTTATCACGTGCAAGCGGTTCAGTTTTTGAGTTAAGGGATTGCTATGGAATGGATGATCTCTCCAGCTGCCATGCACCTACAAAACAAACATATATAGAGAGACAAGAAAAAGAAAAAAGATGAAACTGGTGTTTTGGTTCTAGCTCAAGAAGAAAAAAATAAGTGGCAACAAAAAAAACATAAAGGATAATTGCATTCCCGGTTGATTAAAAAGGGGTGGTGATTATCCCCTTCAGGTATTTCAAGAATTGCCTTAAAGAATTGTTTATCGGCACCTGAACGTGATTCGCGTGTTCGGCGTGCCATTCGCAATTAAAGCGGCTATACTCTTGAATTTAAACTCTAGAAATAAATTAGATAGGTTTTTACAACGCAATAGAAATCCTTCGCTAAGATATACATACGATTCACCTAGGCCTTTTTCTAGGTCGAATCTGAATATACTAGATGGATCCTACACAGAGGATACCGGAGAATCGGACAAAAACAACCAGTTGCAAAATATCCGTCTCAAATGAATATCGAAACGTCGTCATCTCTACATTCTTAAACTACTTGTAACAAACAAACATCTTTGGAACTGATAATTATATTTAAAATCTTTTAGTTTGAAATTACTCAAATGATAGAAAATTGCTTATCTGTACAAATAGCATGCGTCAAAATTGTAATGAAAGTTTATATACTTTTACTAAGTGGAAGTGAACTCAATTGTATACTGATACTTTCACCATATAATGAGGTCATTGGATTTTTATATAAAGTCAACGATCTATTTGATGATCGGATATTTGTAACATGTATAAGATTTGAATGTGTGTCCTTCTGGAAGGAGCTTATCAATGAAATGTACATTCACACTGATAATATCAAGGAAGAAAATAATTCTAAATTGACGAAACAAAAATTTTGCAATAAAATCAATGTGATAACGTTATTCCACCTGTATCTACTTACTTAACTTAGTAACAGTAGCATAAATATGTTTTACCGTTCATAATAGACTGTAGCTGGGGATGCTGTAGTGTCAAAATGTACCTCCCTGTAGCTAAGGGCTGTTGTAGTGTCCAAATGTACCTCTCTGTAGCAAGGGGCTGTTGTAGTGTCCAAATGTACCTCTCTGTAGCAAGGGGCTGTTGTAGTGTCAAAATGTACCTCTCTGTAGCTAGGGGCTGTTGTAGTGTCCAAATGTACCTCTCCTTAGCAAGGGGCTGTTGTAGTGTCAAAATGTATCTTCTGTAGTTTGGGGGCTGTTGTATGCCCAAATGTACCTCTCTGTAGCAAGGGGTTGTTGTAGTGTCAAAATGTACCTCTTCTGTAGCTAGGGCTGTTGTTGTGTCAATATGTACCTCTCTGTAGCTGGGGCTATTGTAATGTCAAAATGTACCTCTCCATAGCTTAAGGCTGTTTGTAGTGTCAAAATGTACCTCTCTGTAGCTAGGGGCTGTTGTAGTGTCCAAATGTACCTCTCTGTAGCAAGGGGCTGTTTAGTTCAAAATGTATCTTTCTGTAGTTGGGGGCTGTTGTAGTGCCCAAATGTACCTCCTCTGTTAGCAAGGGTTGTTGTAAGTGTCAAAATGTACCTCTCTGTAGCTAGGGGCTGTTGTTGTGTCAAAATGTACTCTATGTAGCTGGGGGCTATTGTAATGTCAAAATGTACCCCTCCATAGCTTAAGGCTGTTGTAGTGTCAAAATGTACCTCTCTGTAGCTTGGGGCTGTTGTAGTGTTAATAGAATATCCCTATAGCTAGCGGCTGTTGTAGTGTCAATATGTATCTCTCTGTAGCTGGGG